GGGACACGAAAGGGTTGAAATTAAAATTTAAGCACACAGTCCTCGGAATTGGCCTGGTCGATAATTATCCACTGGATTTGCCCTCTGTTCGAAGCAGGGTTGTAAATTTTATCACAACACGCCGAGCGCATGGTAGAATTGTTAGAAGGTCATACAAATTGTAGCATTCGCGCGAGACGGCAGCCAGAAATTTTTCTGTCGCGGCGCGATAGAAATCAAATCTGCGTTAATGCCGCTTCGCGTGTTACACCGAGCCGGTCCCGAAGAATAAAACGAGAAATCCTGAATCGAACAAGTGACCGCGTTTTTCAACGACCGTTCGACGAGTCGACGAGATATATCCGTTGTCGGTGGCCCCGACACCCCCGAACCGTCGATCAAACTTTCAATCTACTACATCGGAGCATTGCCGGGAAGTCCTCGTCGTTTAGCTCGGTCATGACTTCCACGACTAATAAGCCAATTAAGAGAGCGAGAGAGACTGCCGCGGTGATATGTAAAGTCGTTTTCATTCAGAAACATCCGAGTCGCCAATGAATTACGTTCGCTCGCTGTATACAGGGTGAGTTTTTTTACCTTGAGACTGCAAAATATCTGGAAAACTAAGCATTGTACGAAACAATGTTCCAAATAAACCCTCAATATTTTCGAGGGGGCAATTCCATCCCGCAAAGTCTCAAGCGAGGGGAAAACCGCTGAGAGCATTGTGGTGTACAAATTTGCGGCATTACTGGGCATTAGGCCTTGCATTATAAAGATAAAATAAGATAAAATAAGCTAATAAGATAAAGTAATGCCCATTGGGCATTAGTGGGCATTGGTGTACAACATTTTGGTCAGCGGTTTCCCTCTCGGTCTCAAGTAAAAAGTTCACCCTGTATGTACATATACATGTATGTGTCGAGCCAAATCCTTCGTTTTATCGTGGAGTCGCTTGGAGAAGTAATGCGTACTAACGGAATATAAAAATCGAAGAGGCATTTGTACGATTTATCATTGGCGCCTCAGAATTTCCGTGTTACAGCAGCGCGCAACAACGTGCGTCAAAATATAATGCAAAATATTTAAGTGTAAATTTTATAATGTTCATAAAAGATAACCGTAACCACCGCAGGGGATGCAATTATAAATTGTAAATTGTATAGTTACAAATAAATTAACGATATGCGTCATTTTGCCTGAAACAAGTTGCCATGGAACGCGTAATGATTCTTTATGATTTTAATAATACCTCCGCGTCGCAATTGTATTCTGTTCTAATATAAACTTTCAATGTAGCGCGCGCAATTATCAACTTTATTGCAAATTCGCGTTTAACTTTCAATTTTGGAAAAAGGGAATAGTTTGCCGTCGCGCGGCCCGCGGCCCCGGGCGAGGCGGAAATTAAAATAAAGAAAGGCGGGATGATAACGTCGGCGGGAGATCGGCGTTCATTTTACGGCGGACAGAAATGATTATTTAATTACCCGCGGCCGTGCGATCCCGCGCGATCGGGAAGTAATGGTATTTCGTGATTTGTTTGTCCGCGGCGCGGCGTTACGGGGCAAAATTGCGAGGCTGCGTTTTATTAACGAGCGGCGATACGCGATCCGAACGACCTCGAGATACATCATCTCTCGTCGGCCATGGTTGTTGTCGTTTATCAAACTGTAGAGGATTCCATGATGGAAAGTCGTATTAAGAGAAAATACCGTATGGCGTTGAATGGTGATCAATACCCGCGCGCGGAGGGGACAATGCGAGATGATCGACGCGGGGCCGACACATTTGTTTAATTTATCGGCTGCAGTTTTGAAAGCGAGCGGATCATTATCGCGATTTGTTCCCGCAAATTATTCGCGGATTAACGTCCGAGGGGGAGGGGAGCGGGGGGGCGAGGGGGACGCCCAGCCCACTTTTTATTGTAGAGGCAGACGACTGCGAACGCGTAAACGTTTACGCAGCAAGCGGACAGGCCGACGTTAATTTGTTCGCTTGTTAATTTGATCAAGTTTTGAGGAAGCGGCAGAGCGAATAATCGAAAGTAATGCCATTTGCAAGTGTAATTTATTACTCCGGCAATGAATAGCCGCTCGCGCGTAATGCTCTTTCGCGTTTCACATCGCGATGATCGCGCGCATTCGTATCATTATTATACGCTGCGGGGGTAATCAATCGCTGATTAAATTTTATGTACCGTGCGCTAAACTAAAAAAAGAACCTTTTTTTAAAAAGGTAATAAGACGTCAACTATAAGCGCTACCCAATCAAGAATAATATAATCTAATTATTTGGATATATCTTGTTAGAAAAAAAATACATTTTTATTGTCTCTACAAAAGTAATGATGTATCAAATTGCGCCAACTAAAATATATATTTATACAAACTCGATACTTCATTATTGTTTATATTAAAATATTATATCCAAACGAACGAGCATAAGATTTTACCGAAAGAAATAAAGGAGACAATGGTATTAATAAGACAAATTTTTAATACTTATTTAATAAAAATATAATGCACGCAATCCAAATAATTAAATTATAGTATTCTTGACTGGGTGGCGCTTATACTTGGCGTCTTATTTTACCTTTTTTTAATAAAAGTTTTTTTTTAAAAATACAAGAGACCCGTTGAGGGCATTGTGGTGTACAAATTTGAAGCATTACTGGGCATTAGTTTGGGCATTAGGCCTTGCTGGGGCATTATAAAGACATAATAAGATAAAATACGACAAGAAAAGATAAATGAGACAAAATGAAATAATAAGATTAAAGTAATGTCCACTGGGCTTTAGTTGGGCATTGGTGTACAAGATTTTGCTCAGCGGTTTTTCTCCTCGGTGGCAAATTAATTGTTGGATCGTGCAATCGTTGCGAAAAAAGATTTGTGATTGAATTTAGACGTTGAGAACTCACCGTCTCATAATAGTGAACTCTCCTCTAATTAATTCGACTGCGAAAGAGTTAATGGCTGCCAGAAATCCGCGGAGGCACAAGTAATATCGTAATGTATGCGCGAATGGTATATTTTTACCGACCCGCAAATATCGAGGCTTTAAAGTTAAATTTCATCATACGCGATGTATTTTTTTTTATGTATAACTTTGTTTCGCGGCTTTGGCTATGCTATCGCGGGTATCTTATTGATCACGCGATATGCAGGTCACGCCGAAACGAATCGCCACATCATAACGACGCGTGATACATCGGTCGCGGAAATATCGCAACGCGGGGATATTAAAATTTACACGTTTGATAAAAATGGGAGGGGGCTTGTTTTAAATGTCACGTTTTTTTTCGCAGTAATTGCGCGGACATCTATAGAATCGTGCGGCGACTCCTCTCTCTTTCTCCCATCGATTGCGCCTCGAAATGCCGCCGTGTTTATTATTTATGCATATAACATTGTTGATTATTAATTATACATATAATAAGATAAAATATAATTGCTCGAAATGCAAGAGTGCTGAGATATAATTATTTAAAATATGACTACGAAAAAATTACCGTAAATCATGAAAAACAAAAGAAATTTATTTTATTTAATTATATAAGAATTAGGTAAAATAGATATTTTTTATTCTCTTTAAACTGGTCTTCAGATATCAAGCGGTAGCTATATAATTTATCGCAGGCATGGCCAACCTGCACTGACAATGAGAAAAAAAAGTGTCCAGTCAGGAAATTTTTCTTGATTCAACTATATCACGGTCTGCCAGGCAAATATTTATCAATTTACAAAAATATTCGTCAATTCATCAAGGTATATGTCTCGATAAATCACTGAATATATGTTTAACTTAAAAACATTTTTGAACTAAAGAAGTACTGTCGACTAAGAGTATTTAGTCATTTCAGTACCTTTTTCTTCCTCAACGGGCGACATTTTGAAACCTGAAAAAACTAAAGAAAGAAAAATCTAGTTTACTCAAATGTTCAAATTTAATGTTAAACCCAGCTTTGGTGTTTCTTTGTATAAAAAATAAAAAACGTCATCACTTCTAAAACTGTTTCGGCCCGTTTGAAAGATTTGAACGTGGCCCGCGAATCGAAAAAAATTGGCCATGCCTGATTTATCGTAGACATGTCGAAATTAAGGAAAAACTATTGAATATGTATATATGCGCCAACTTAGAAAGTATCGTAGTTGACACCGAATGAATAGTCAATATGTCGAATAAAACATCGAATGAACGACATTTTTTTATAAAAACTACAAAGAAACCTTCGTTACGGTTCCTTCACCATTTTTATAACGAAAAGTATAGGGAAGATAATTTGATACGCACATAAAGTAGAAAGTTCTAACAAATCAGCCAATTTGGTCCATTCGTTTTCGAAGTACCAAGTTCTTTTTTAGTGTAGGCAGGTGTAGATGAGTAGCACGTTTATAGGTCGCGACGATAAACGGGGGGGACGTCAGACACAGCCAATCACGTAACACGTCTCTAATCGCGTCATGATCGGACGATTTCCTTACGTATATACGAAGGTTTCTCTGCGTAATTAACCTTACCGATCGGTTTTCAAACCTATTCATTTTCATTTAAGTCGCTTAAAAGCACTTATTCGATATTTTCATATCGAGGTTGAAAAAAGCATTGAATAATCAATCACACCGAATGCCGATAAGCATCTCTAATTTATCGTGTCTAACATTGCTATTTGTTGTCTATTAAGACCCGTTTTAGTGTGGCACGCGGAACAATGGAGATCCAATTTTGTCAGGTAACAAAACTTGAGCCAACGGCACACGATACTATTTTTCCTACTGCATTCCTTACGAGAGCCAATTCAGCTTTGAGTCGCCTTATCGAAAACTCTGCATCTTGATTGACTCGTAAGCAATCCAGTAGGAAATAGTAGTATCGTGTGCCGTTGGCTTTAATTCCTATTATCTCGATCGGCAGCAACGCCGTTGGGAACGAGCGCGCGCCAAGGAAAGAACGTAGAGTCACGACGACGGAAAAGACGTCCAATCATCGTTAACGGTCGAATATGACTGAGTTTTACTCACAGGTCGGCTCGCCGTCTCCTCGTCGCGCACAGGCCGCTCCGCTCCTCCGGGACACTCGCCGCTCACCACATTTCCGCCGCAATTATTCGCGCGAAAGAGCGGCACGGTCGATCGCGAACGGCCGCTGCGCCCCGCGTGACGATCACGGACTCGAGACACATCGCGGCGACACGAACGGGCGACGCGACGCACATTCCGATCGACGCGACGCCGTTTCAGCGCGCCCGGATTAATCCAATCCGTGTTTCCGGTGCTTCGATCGCCAATTCGACGGGCAACGGGACGCGTACGCTCCGATTACGAGCGCCGCGCGAGTCAGCGGCGTTCACGCGCGGGCACCTCGCGACGATAACGCGCTGAAATCGACGCGATTCCCTCGTTCGCGCGTCGTACTCCGAGAACTTTCCAACTCCGGCTCGACAGACTAAACACGGGGCGAAACGCACGATCCGCACCGAGCACCGACCGCCGAGAGACTGACTATACGCAGGAAGGACGGCGCGCGGGAAACAAAACAAGCGCGCGCCAACGTGAAAAAAAGTTGTTTACGCTCCTTCGAGCCCGACGCGTTAATAACGGCCCATTGATTTTGTACGCTTTCACGTGACTCCCCGGTGCGGATTTTCACATATTACTCTTACCATTAGGAGGATACTATCGCGCTTGTTGCACGGCGAAACCTTGCGGGCGTTTACGAGTGACCGTTACGCGGCGTCTACGACATAGTCGATTCGTAAGCCAATGGCACACGATACCGTTTCGCCTACTGGATTTACTTACGAGAGCCAATCAGAATTCAGGCCATCTGGTCCGAAACTCCGCATCCTTATTGGCTCTCGCGAGCGTTCCGGTACGGCTCTGTGATTGGTTGAAAGCACGTTAAGTGCGTACTTAAGATGATCTTAAATATAAGAACGGACTGTGAATACCGGCCTAGCAATAAGACGTAAGATTTAAGAACGTGAATCACAAGCGGCTGTGAGGAGAATAATTGACTGCGATTTGTCATTTTCTTAAATCCTGCGTCTTAAGGCCAATGTCCACGATCCTAGAACTTGGTCCAAGTTCTAGTTTCGAGAAATGTACAGCCAATCAACTTGCAGCTCTTCCGTAAGAGAAGCAAGTTGATTGGCTGCACATTTTTCAAAACTAGAACTTTGACACAGTTCTTGGATCGTGGACACAAGGCTTTAGGTTGATATTACATTTGTCGTACGACAAATTTTTCAAGTGAGTTAAGTAACTGCAGGATGGAAAAGGTCAAGTATTTAGACATTTTTTAGCTTAAGCAGACAAGCAATACGCTTAACAAATTTGTCGTATGACAAATGTCATTGGTACCATTATGTCCGTTTTCATACACGCAAATTGACATTAACGTTTGTTTCATTTTTCTTGTATTTTTTCCACGGTCAAGAATTAGAGGAAGTTAAGGTTAAATCGAGAGTAAAGTTAAGTCTGCATTTATTACATAGAAATTGACATCAGAGTGACGTTATATTCGCGGTACAAATTTTTTAAGTAATTTTCGTTTCGGCTATTATTACATTTGTCACGCGACAGATTTTTTAAGCGCGTGCTTGGCTACAAACTGGAAAATTTCTAAATACCCGTCAACTGTTTTACTCTGTAGCCAATCGACACGCCTGAAAAATTGATCGTGACGACAAGTGTAATACCTTAAGGTTTAGCTTTTGTTTCGAGCAGTCCGTGTCGACGAGCCCTTGTCGCGCTTCGCCCACAGACTTCGTATACCACTAGACTGCTAGTATGGTAATGATAATGGTTATTAGTGCATTCAGTAGTGGGGGCGGGAGGAGGCAACTTCACACAGCCCGCGGGAGGGTTGGCGGCACTTGCGTCACAAACCGCGCGACGCCAACGGCCGTCGTGGTGCGGGACGTTGAATTAGTCGACGCAGACGCGGGCGCGACGGTAAGATTAACCAACTTTCCCCCGGTATCGCGGAATCGAGGTTATCGCGCGCGCCCCGACAGTCGCGCAATTCGAATCCTTCCCTTCGTCGCGCGCTCTTCCCTTCGTGAGGGGCCGGCGCTAGGCGCGGGAAGAGACAGAGTGTGAGAGAGAGAGAGACACGTCGCGTCGGATCGATAAAGCAAACGGTGCATTTCGCGATGTTTACCCGCTTCGAGTAAGACGGGCGGGGGAGCGTGCGTACGTGCGACGGGCGATTATCGCGTCTGTGCTAATTGGCGCGAAGATTCGCGGTTAAATCGCGCTTCCCCGACCGCGACTGATATCCACGATGGGCGAGAGGACGGATCGATCGACGGTGCGAGTGGCCGAGGCGAAGCGGACGGGACGATCGATGGACGAGGAGGCGGAGGAGAAGGAGGAGGCGGCCGGTCGGCGTCGACCAACCGCCGGGCATCGACTGGTGAGTAATTATCCGCTTATTACGGTATTTGGCCGATTAATCGTTGGTCGTTACTTCGTTTGCGACGCGATTTCACAGCGTCGCGGGGATAAACGCGCCTCGTCACTCGCGGCGGGCCCTTGGTTTCCCGCCCGCGACGCCTCCCCCGCTTCTGTAGAAGCGGAATATCGAACCGTAACGATCCGCCGATCCTCGCCGCTTCGACGGGGAGTCGGCGCCGTAATCTGACTACGACTCGTTCCGCCGACGTTACGAGACGGTTTTTTTTTTAACGATCACGCGATACCCCTCTGTATGCACATCCGGAAAGCCCGTTTTAGACGCTCTGTAATTCGCGTTAGATTCCGCGGAATGCAATGCCGTTCGCAGTGCGCTACGCCGCGTGTTTCGGCATCCGGTTTGATGCCTCGACTGTTTTATTATAACCCACGGATAAATTTAATATCTCCACACTGAAAAAAA